CCACAGAGAAGCAGCGCGCCTGCCTGCTGCCCCCCGACGACGGCCCCTGCCGCGCCCTGGTGCCGCGCTGGTACTACAACAGGTACACGCAGAGCTGCCAGGAGTTCACCTACGGGGGCTGCCACGGTAACGCCAACAACTTCCTCACTCTCGATGACTGCGAGAAGAGCTGCTGGACCATCAAGAGTGAGTTCGGGAACCAGCCCTGCCGCCCGCCGCAGTCCCCGGGGGCCGATCCGACGGGGCGACCCAGGGTGGCAGGGGCACGGAGGGAAGGCTGTGGTGCTGGCGGGACGCTTCGTATCCATCCTCCTCTCCTTGGAGCGACTGTCTCGCTGATAGCAATTCTATGCAGAGCAAGTGGAACGAATTGTCTCAAAGGCGACATGTGAAATTTAGCTACTAATATTTTAAATGTTATTTAATGTTATATCTAGTTCCTATTTAATGCATCAGATTCCTCTTGTAAAGCTTTATTGAGAATGCAGGTAGTGGGACAAGCTGGGACTTGCCTGCAACGGGAGTGATAACATCTTGTCTACACTACCATGTTGTTCAGCAGAAGCGTTGATTTTACAGAGGATGAAATTATTTTTGTTGCAGAAGTGCCTAAATTATGCCGTCTGGAGGCTGATGGAGGACCTTGCAGGAGTCATCTCAAAAGATATGCCTTTAACTTGAGCGCAATGAGGTGCGAGGAGTTTATCTACGGTGGCTGTTATGGAAATGGCAACAACTTCAGAGATCTGCAGTCTTGTGTGGACCACTGTCTGCCAGAGAGAAGTAATAGTTGTTTCAAATTTTTAATAAAATAGGTGGTTTGAAAGTGATATGAAGATGGCATTTTATTTGATTTATTTCCTCTGGATACCCATACAGTGGTACATTTGAAGACTTCTGTGAAGCAGATGTTTATATTGCCTGCAGACTTTCATGTGTCACTAGTCTCAGCTGCTACTGAAAGAACAAAATGCTGTGTTAGTTTGAGACCTTAAATCTGCGCACAGCTACACCCAACTGATCTCTTGACTTCTAGAGAGTTGTACATGTGTAATCTGAAGGGAAATAAGTTTGGAAGGCTGTGTTGAGGCAGATGTATGAGATGTTGTGGCAAACATGTTCAGGGCAGTGATAATTGTAATATAAAGCAGAAGTGACTTCTTGAAATTCAGGCCTGAGAGATGGTGCTAGGTGGCTTGGGTTTTTGACACTCACCAGCTCAACTTCTGATAGAAGCTTTTTGCCTGACCTGACTCTTCACTGTCTCTCCATACAGGTTTTAAAGAAGAGAGGTGGTAATTATGAGCAAATGACTATAGCTAAATGTTGTAATAAACACCAGATTAATAACCCGTGCTAAACAGGATCTTTGAAGAAGAGAGATCTATCAGAATGTATAAAATCTGTCACTGCCCAAACTTACTAAACACTACATTAAACTAAACATTAGTGCTTAATGAGACGGTTATTTTTGGCTGGTGACAGATTGTCAGTGTTTTCTTGGGTCAATGCTGAATTATTTTTAATTTTTCTGTTGTGTATCCAATAAATCGGTAAAAGGTCTCCAGCAAAAAAAGTAAAATTTTGTTGAGGCAAAATGAAATGTGATTCTTGTGAGGAAAGTGGAGGGTTTGTACTTTTTGCTGCAAGCAGGCAAAATTTGCTGGCAAGATCATAGCAAGGATAAACAAAATTATGCCTTTTCCTCTACAGAGGTAGTTCCACTGGAATTGTTGTATTCCTATATATATATGGAATAAGATTTCTGGCCAGACTATGTAAATATCTCAGCTGTCGTATGTATGGTACCACCAGTGGGGAAAGCTGATGGTTTTCACTTGTGGGATAGTAATCCTATTTTCTGGGAATGTCTCTTGCTTTCTCAAATTCCTAACTCACAGGAATAAGATGTAGTAAGTCTCTGAAATCATCAGTAACAGTCTTCTCAGTTCAATGGGAACAACAGCTGTTTAGCCACAAATGTATTGCAGTGTAAAATTTAAGAAGCCAGGCATAGAGATTACACTCACGTAATTTTACTTTCTCTCTCTTTTTCCCCCCTTTTATTTTTTTTTTTCCAAGCTGGTCCCTTGCTATGCTATAGCCCGAAGGATGAAGGACTCTGTTCTTCTTCTGTGCCTCGTTATTACTATGACACCAAGACTAAAACATGTAAGGAGTTCAAATATACCGGCTGTGGTGGAAATGCCAATAACTTTGTTACTGAAATGGATTGCTACAGAGTTTGTGGAAAAGGTAAGATTTTTTTCTTTAAAAAAAAAGCAGATAAAGCAATCCCAATACCAGTAACAGGTGTTCACACTGTTCTTTTACACACTTTAGTTTGCATTTGGGACTCTGTTTTTTCAAAGGCAGAGAAAATTGAGATGCCATGCTAAATTCTTCTGACAAGAACAGCATGGTGCGAGATAGCTGCACCATTTTTTTAATAAAGCGTAGAGAAAAGCACACAGGAAGACTAATTAACTTACTAGAGTCCACAAGGAATCAGTTTTTAAACTGTTCATTATCAGCATGAACACTAATTAAGGTATCATTTACTTCTATATATTTTTAAGTAGGATTAGAAGTGAGTTCTGAAGTCAATTTACTATTTTCCTTTGCATTTTCAGATGTTACCATCCTCCTCTGACTCCCCATTTCCCATTCCCATTACTAAAGATTTCTACATCATCACTGGTGCTGAGTAAACTGTTTCTGTGGCCATGAGGGAAGGGTTGGGAATGATAATTAATTTTTCTTAATGGTTTTATTCAAATCAGCTACTGGCTCTGTTTGTAAATAAAAACATTTGTGCTTTTACCTGCAGTCATATAATACTAGTTATTGCAAGTTTTAATACACTACTTTAATTAATTTGATATGTAAATCAAGGAATGCGATAAAAGCATAATTATATGTTGATTCCCCAGAGCACTCAGGAAGCAGACACAATCCAATGTTTAAAAAAATTATACTAACGGGGAAAAAAATTAAGGCTATATGTAACATGTCTATTGCCTTTGAAAAATAAAAAAAGCCAAAAATTAGCTCTGTTTTAAACATGAGATAGGCACAAGATCTGAACCCTTCAGTATTTAAGATGTGTAGTCAGAAGGCTTAAGTCAGGAGATGATTCTTCAGTTCTGGGCTGGAAATCCAAGGCTGGGGTAAGGATTGCACACTGAGCACAGTCTTCTGAAGTAAAAATAATATCTGCCAGTTAGTCATAGCAGTAGCATTTCTGTGGGTGACAAGTCTGAGTGTGTCTCTGCCATTCTAGCATTATAAGAGAGTCTTCTGTAGCGTGCTAAATCTGTCTGATATGTTTGTGATTATCTAATTTGCATCTATTACTACCTGGGAAATGGCAGGGCCAGGCTCCAGCCTAAGTGTGTCAAGAGAGAGGAGGAAGGAAGCTGCCTCTTCAGTACTCTGCCTCTGCCCACACCCAGCCAGAGCCACCTGAGGCCTCTCCCTTCCTTGTTCTTTGCCGAAGAAGCAAGGAAATGCTGTCCAGCTCATAACTAGAGCACCAGATAGCCAAATGTAAAGGGTCAGATACAAGCTTTTTCACCAACTTGTGGATTTCACAATTCAGTAAGGCTACGTACAACAAAGCCCATAGTTAAGGGCATAATTAGTGCTAATTAATATTGTGCTATACATCTTCATTTTTACAGCTTGGGAGTGTACAGCAACATTGAGCAAATGTTTAAGGCAACTTAAGCCACTCCTCTTCTGGGGGAGATAATAATTCCCTCCCTAGCATCTTTCTTGTTACCTTTTAGAGTATGGAGTTGAATTCAATTGACTTTCCCTGTGCAAATATGCAACTGCTCTTTGAATTAATCTATAGCTTTTGCAGTAGAAAAGTTTCTAATTCATTTAATTTTAAAAGTTTGTATGAGAAAAGAAAATAAATACATTGGGGTGACAGCAAAAGGATTGGGAACTGGCCGCAGGGGCTCTGTGTGCAGGTGAACAGGTAGCATAAAGACAAAAGATTTTCAGTCAGGCTTGTAAAGTATTTGTTTTCTGAACTGCACTCACACATTCCATGCAGCCTTCATAAGTGTTCCTGGAGAGAACCCTGACTGTCCTTGGCCACTCTGCAGCTTCTGTGTGAAACCCAGTTCTGTGTAGTAGCACAAATCATTTTACCTTTCCATTTCCCACAAGCACTGATTATATTTTAGACTTCACCTCAGTGTTGTTCAGAGAAATGTAGTAATAGGGTTTCTTTTTTCTTTTTGTTTTTTCCAGACAGAGCAGTGTGTTTACTTTTGTTTTGCTGTCTCTGCAGAACAGCTAGAAAAGACTTTGATGCTTGCTTAGGAAAAGAGCAGCAAAGCAGGACTTCAGTGCAAAAGGTGGACATGTTGGAGACCTTACAGCGTGCGAGAATAGGGTGTCCAGAACACATTTTACAGTTTCTGATATGTTTGTTATTATTGGATCAACTGTTTAAACAGCATAACATGAGAACAAAACCCAAACAATAAAGAGTAGTAACAGTTTTGTCATACTGTTTCTCTAACTGCTTCCTTTGTTTTCTTAGCAGGGGCTCAGAAACCAAGAATCAACAAGCCAACGAATGTGTACCGCAGAAAAATGATGAGAAAACTGGTTAAAAAACCTCAGACATATAACCTGAAGTCTTAAAGTTGATGTGCACTTCAATGCTTGAAGCACTTTCTTTTGATTCCACTTTCTTCTTTTGTAAGATGATTTCCACACAGTTTTATACACTGACATAGTTCTTTCAGAACTTTTTTATTTGCAACTTACTTTTTTTTTTATAAAGAACTGCATTTAATAGAAGAGGAATGAACCTAAGTTTGGTTCTTCTGCTCAGTTGTCTTTGCAGTAATACTTTGGCAAAGTCAAGTATTTAGATTTCCATGTTTTTATGGGGGAATGTACTACTGCTTTGGGAGAATATTTCAGCTGTTACAAATCAATTAAGCATCATCGTCTCTTAGTATGACTAAGGGGAGCACAAAGGTAAATCTCTGCTGTGGATTGTTTGTTGTTTTTTTTTTTTGCATCCTCTGCATGCTAAGAACCTTTCAAAAGTGCCATTTAACATACTTTGGCACTATCATTTAAGGAGACTGTGCTTTGCAGTTATGTTCATAGTCAAGGCTTTCAGAAGCATTTGTAACAGTAAAACAAATATAAACTTAAATCTGGCACAGCCCACAAGAGAAAATCTGGATTAGGGATACTTTGATAAACATTCTGACAAAAGCAATGAATAAGCTACTTGAGTATTAAAATTAAAATGTAGCCATTACTTTTCCATGACATTTGAAATTTCTGCTAAGTTGTCTCCAGATCTTTGTATGGCATAAAATATTATTTTTATTGATTTTAATGGAGCTACACCGATTACATCTGCTGAGGATCTTGATATTTGTGTTTTGGCAATATTTGTGTTTCGGCGATGACTGTTAAAGAAGAAAAACAGAAGCTTCTGCAAATCTCATGTAATCCCTGTTTTGAGGCACTATTGTATTTCTTACAGTAGAATATGTAATATTTTTGCACCTCCTTTTATGTTTTGTATTTGAGCCATGTCTGAATTTCAGTTAATTTCACCTACAATATTTTCTAAATATGAATTCATAAGTAATGTTAATAAAATGTTTTTGGAAAAAAAAAGCTTGTTCTGTCATATGCTTCAATTAATTATCCCACATTAGTTGTATACACCAGTGTGTGTAATAGAACCTATTATTTACTAATTATGACTCTAGCAGAGTTTAGTTGTCTCTTAAATAATTTCCTTACACTGAGGTCTTCATTTGAAGAAAACCAGTAAAATGCATTGATGTCATTCACCTCCAGCAGTTTTTGTGGCTCAGCTGGCTCTCCCTAAAGAGCTGCTCTCAAGGGAGTGCTTAGTTAAGCTGATTGTCAGCTGCTGGGTCTCCTGTTTGATGTTGTGCTATCTGAAGAGCTTTTGTGTAGGTAGTGGGTGTTTGCTTGAAGTCACATTGGCTTTCAGTTAGAATAGTTCAGGCATGTGCTTTATCCCCACTTCTGAGAGGGAAGGTGATGGGAAAACTAGTAAAGATTTGTTTTTCTTACTTGTTTTTCTCTCACTGCTGTATTTTCAATTGAAGGAGTCAGCTGTGCTTGCCATAGGCTTTCTACTTTTCCATTTCTGGTTCTTGATCTCAAAGATCCTTATTTCAATTAATCTATCACCTAGTGCAGACAAATAAGGACACTGTGGCAGAAAATTGTGGGTAACTAGTGACACAGTTCTGAGTGTTTGCACCATAACAAACCTCTTCTCTGGTAACCAACCCTCAAACAGCACCAGGGCCAGTCTAACCTATCTGGGGGAAAAAGGGCACGCTACCCATGGATGCTGCCCATGTCCTTTCCCTTGGGCTGAGGGAATTTTGGCCATGCTGCTCAGAGCAGCATCCCAGAGTGTCCCTCTGAATATTTTTTTTCATACCTAGTACTACCATATGTGGCACTCCAGCTGTATTTCTTGGAGATTTCTGACTATGGCTTAAAAAACCACAAGCCTCTTTTGTAAGTCAAAGCTCAATTTAAACACTGTTTTTAACTGTAGAGGACAGCCATCTTTTAACAGCATCACTGTGGAGTGTGATCTCTGGCAACATGTTTGAGAAATGGACTATTGATCCTTACCTCTCTGGGTCTTTGACTTTTATAGGAGTATCTTAGGGTGGGATACAAAAGTGGACCTGGGATTTAAAGGGAGCCCAAAATCTGAGAACAACTCCATCTCCCTTTACTTTTTGGTCTCAAAATTGGGTGTCTGGTCACACATCGCAACATATCTTGGGCAATGCTATACCTAGATAATGTTCTGGAAGGGATCCAAGGGTTTGATAATCTTCCACTCGTGCCCCCTCAGGGGCCCAGCAAGAACTGTCTCAATGGACTGGGCTCCATCCAGCATGCAGGAGTGGCCACTGCAGCTCTTTACAGTGCAGCTGATCCACGTGCTCTTTGTTTTCTTGCATAAAAACATAACTCAGAATCCAAGGAACTAACTGAAATATCAGAGGCTCGGGTTTTAATCCCTTATCTACCTCATATCACACAGAAATTTAACTTAAACCATCCACAATTCTTGCAGGGTTTCCTAGTAAGGAGGCTGTAGAGTATTCTGGGTGGGGGAAGAGGAAAGGAGGAGACCATGAAAATTTCTTTCAGTCACTTAGTGAAGCTATTGCACTTTTATGAATTGTACCTTTTTTCCAGGTAAATGTCTTAATCTCCTTTTTTTTGTTGTTTTAGCTACAAAGAATTTCAGCTGCCAGTATGCTGCTCTGCTTCATGTTCTTACGTTACTCTAATATCCCTCCAGACTCCTATGGCTTTGACTAATCTAAATAATTCTCTATTACTGCAGCATTTTATATTACTCATGACTTACTTCCTTTTTCAGTTTGCTGATGAAACAATACTGGCCCAAGGTTGGGTCAACTGTTAGCATTTTGCCACATTGAAAATTAACGCAGCCCATACCATCATGCAAATTAACTTTTATTATAGTAGCCAGTGTCCAACAGCTGGTATTGTGTGTCACAGCCCAAATTTCTACTGCAGAGGAGGGAAGCTGTGGTTATAATTGGTTGGATTCTTCTTGTCTTGCATAGGCAAAGTGCCACTGAAACTCATGATTAGTGATTTGCATGGAACAGTCATACCTGCTGCTGAACAGTGGTTGCTGAAATAAGCAGGTTCGACTAAACTCCATTGCAAATAACATCACTGCTCTTCAACTTCCCATTGCAACCCATAATTTCAGCTCTTTTCCAAATGGCATCTTGTGAAGAACTATAAAAAAGACTACAAAAATGAAAATCTGCACTGATTCTTCATCACTAAAGTGTGGCAACACTCAGAGAATTGCTTCATAAAGTATTATAAAAGTAGGAGAGTGGCTTTGTTTTTACATTCCAGTGGAATTTTAAGTGTCAAAAAGAGAAAACAAAAAAATCCACGTGGAAACATGTAATCATTCTTATTGATAAGCCAGGTAGTAGCAAGCAAAATCTCACCACATCTCACTGTAACAGTGATTAGCCTTAATTGTTTCTTTTCTCACAATTCCTTATTTCAGGAGAAAAATGGCGATGAGTTTGGCTTGTATCCCTAGAGCCAGATTTCTCACTGTCAGAAGTGTCCCCCTTCCTCTGTCGCTTCTTATCAGCTGAGGCCGTGGAAAACATGGAACATTTGATTTAAAAAACCAATTTATTAGACACAATGGGCCACATTAAAAAAAATAATGACTGAGCTTGTGTGAGAGACTTTGTCCCTAAGCTTAAAGTCATCTCTGCTGCTGAGGGCAGCTGTTCTGGATCCAGGCAGTGAGAAGAAATCTTTTCTGCTGCATGAACACAGTCCAGCTGTGGTTATGTGAACCTGGAAGAACCACATTGCAAATGTGCCAGAATTCTTATATATTTACACATTAGTGTTATTGAAAGCAAAATCTGCCTCGTTATCTTTCTAAAAAGCTTTTTATTATTATGCATAGCTATTGCTAGTGATAATTAATGTAGAGATATTTGCTTCTGTTGAAGTGAGCCTGATATTTCAGTGTATGGTGGTCCTGTACAGTAATATCTATCAACTCATAAATTACTTAATTGCTGAGGAGAAGGGGTGTATTCATAGTATACAAAACCTAATGAACAGCAATGATATAGAAAACAACCAAGTATGTAAACAAGATGCATAAAAGCATGCTGTTTGAAGTATTAGCAACTGATGTGATCATGAGCTGTGATTTCCAAATAAATGCCAGGGAAATGAGCGTTTCCAGCTTGTGTCTAGACTATTCATAAAGGAGAGAGAGTTCAGGCGAGTTAAAGACTAATTTATGAAATGTAAAACATTGTATCTCTTATGTGGGAATAAAATAAGTCCCTTTTAATGAAGGTTCCCTTTGTACTAGCAGTGCTGACCATAATTTCAGATTAATATGCACAAAATGGATGCTCTTCCAGTCACATGTGGTTACATATTTAACTTCTTCTGTGTGAAGGGTTTTAAATGCAACTGGAACTCAAAGTGCATTACATTGTTTCATTTGGTGGGGCCAAACTTCAAGCTGGTGAGCATACAGTAATATTAAGTCTTTTTTTTTCCCTCATGCTAGATCCTCATTAAAGAGGATCTTTAATATATTAATATATTAACTACAAGTTAAATTCTCTCATATATCTGCCAGCTGAATTACAATATTCTTCCTCAGAGAGCTTTCTTGGAGGTAAGATACTACTCATTTAAGCAGTGTGCAGCACCTCTTCTAAGGGAGCAAGGCATGTTTAAATTTTTTAAAACTTAGTATGAAATGCAGTAATAAAACTCATAATAACTAATAAATGCATTTCATACTAAGCTTTAAAAATATCCCATTACTCTCTATGGGATATTTTTCTCTCCGTGTGGGAAGCAAGATAAAGAGGATAGATTATACTAATAAAAGCTACTTAAAGAGTCAAGAGAGTAAAGGGTGAAAAATATACCTCATTATCAAACTAGAAAAAAGCTTTCCATCATTACAGTAGTTTTTAACAAGGAGAAAACTTGAGATTTACTGATGTTAAAAAGAATACATTATAAAAATGTCTCCAGTAGAAAGTTAGATTAGTTAAAGT